ACAATGAACAAAAAAAAAATGACTACATTGTTACCTTGACGACATGTGGACAAAGGGATGACTCATAACTTCTATCTGATTGTGTATTGCACTTGTCTGAGTCATAATACATTATAACCACTGGAGTTAAATGTCATCCTACTCTAAGTCTTTAGTAGTTCAAGAATCTTCTTGATTATGAAAACCCTGATTTTCTTTTGATGAATGCGTGGAATATCAGTGCATTATTTCTGTCAAATTATTGCTTGACCTTTGTAGCCTATGAGTTTTGTGTCATACCTTTTCTCCATGTCTGTATATGTTGCTAGTTTTTATTCTGTTGTGGATAAGATTTAACATGACCTTTTTACAGATTTTTGTCAGACTTGTCCTTCAGAAGACTTTCCTACAGAGGCAGAACAGATCCATTTCCCATTGCTGATTATGAATTGCACAAATCAGTCTTCCCATTGAAGTACTCTTACAGCTGGGATATGACTAATACACTTTACAACTTGAACCACCTTTTTTCCCTGTAAAGGGAAAACCCTGTTTGTGAGGGTTGCAACAACAATGCTCTATCTTTATTTTAATCTAGGAACTGAGAATAAGAATTGTTCAGAGAAGTATCCGATTTAGTAATTTCAGAATTCTAGAGGTTCTAAGTGCAATTTTCTACTTGGTAGTTTCCAATCAAAGTAAAGCATACCAGCAGAATATATTTCTACCATCAAGGAAAAAGCAGTTATTTATATCAAAAGATAGCTGAAGTGAAATCATTAATGACCCTTATTCAAACAGTGATGAAGATGAATTAGAAATAAGTTGGGAGAAATGATTGTGAGGTCATTCACCTTTAAATCAACCCTTTTCTAAATCAAGATCAACTCTTTACATTTAATATATGTCTAGTAAATTGAGAAGATATACTATACACACACACATACATATATAGTCCTTTAGTGTGTGTCTTGCATATATATTCATGCTATTTTTGGATCTAAATTGTATGCCAGGAGTAGGTTTTGAATGCATGCATCATTAAGGGATCTTAGTCCTCACAAGTAGAGTTAATCTGTAGGGATCAGAAAAAGAGATCAGTGCTGTGCATTATATGGTTGATTATAAAAGATCCATCACTGAAATATCTTCATTTGCCATTTCTCAGATAACAAAAATGTTTAGTTATACTTTACCTGATAAATAACAGGATATATATTATACAAGGTACCTTATTAGATATGTGGCATTTCTAATTCTAAGGATTTTCTCTTAAGTCCTATAATACTAAGGTTTTCACCCTCAAAGTTCTCAACTGGAAAGATTTTAACTATGATTAGTGTGTCCTTCTGATTATATGAAGTTCTACTACTGTCTGAAATATTTTTGCTGCAAATAAATTTTATTTCCTATCATTCTTCCTAACTGCAGATATAGAGAGGGGGGTACCCATGTCCTCTTTGTAATATTTGGTTTTAACTGGAAAACCACTATTATATTTCTTCATAATGTTCCTTTCATACATGAAACTAGCAGAATTCCTTCAATGTGCACTTTAAGGACATGTTTTCTGAAACTGTGATGATTCTTGCTACTTTGTAGTGAGTACTCTTTAGTTTCCATACATCCTTCCAAATCTGCAAATTTCAAAATCGCATGGCAAAAGGCAAAAGCCTTAGCAGCTGAAAACAGTGCAAGAATTATTTCCAGTATCTTCCCATGTACGTTCTTGTGATATTGTAATCTTCCACAATCCTTGGAACCTTTTCTACATAAATTTTACTTTGGTAATAAGATTCCCATTGTAACATTTACGCAGTTCATTATTTCATTCCAGTGTGACACTCGACATTTATTCTTACTGGATAGTGTCTTTTTTATCCCAGACTATACCTCCAATTTGTGAAGGTCACTTTAAATTCTAATCCAGTTCTTCAATGTGCTTGAAGTCCTTTCCTGACTGGTTTTATCTTACTGATCTTGATCATTTCACTAGTTTTTCAACATCTTTCTAAATTTTTATTATTTTTCCAAAATAATTTCTTCTAATTAAAAATATTTCTACACATTTAATTATTTCATTTTCTACTCAGTCTCCTGCATCATTCAACAAAAGATTTTATAGAGTGTATCTGTTTTGAAACCAGTCTTGTTAGGAGGACAAAACCAATTCTGGGTATTGTTTTCCGATTCTTTCCCAGAAGACATTATTTCCTTTTCCTATTTACAGAGTACCATCTGCAGGGAATCGGTATTCTTTTCTCATCACCATCTATATAACTGCCCACTCATTGCATCTCGTTACAATTATAAAGCATATTGACCTTTTCTCTTGTAATGTAATTAAATATTCAAAACAGTACTGTACTCTATGATATAAAACCAAATACATTAAATAAAATAATAATCTAAAAATATATTGAGAAAAGTTATTTGCTGTGTTTCTTCCTCTCTGTCTTTGAGATTTCCTAATTCCTCCTAAGTATGTCACGAGGAGCAATTAGGTTACACTCCATTTGAAGTTTTTGAACTACTGTGACTTTATGAAGGCGCTTTGGAGTTTTACCACATCAGATGTTTCAGGAAGAGATAGTAAATGTATAAGAAATTACCCTACAGCATATCAGCAGTTCTATAATTAATAGATAGTAAGTAGCTTAGCTCTGAATGAAAGAGAGTGCAGTTTCTTCACATCTACCACAACTGAAGAAAAATGTGTAGATACTGCAAATCACCCAAAAGTGCTTAAATATCTCACAATAATTGTTTGCCATAGGCTTACATCAACTAAAATCAAATATACCTGAACACTATGTGCTGTCATGTTCTACAGTCCCATCAGATTTCTATAAATTGTGATTAACATTTTAGACTCCAATCCTTTAATCCCATTTCAGATATTAGCTCTTGATTCAAGTTCTTTAAACATGTCATTCTCAATCTCTCAACAAAGCTTTCTCAAGTTATATAGCCTCACAAAAAGTGGCATGAGGATATTAGTGTAATTTTAGAATTTTGTGCAGAAGAACAAGATTTCATTTCAGGAAGCAAGGAATGCACAGGAAATACAGGAACAGCACATTTTTACCGGCATATAGGGAAATCATAGTAGGAATTGAGCAGTTTAAACTGTAAGATAATATGAGGGAAAGAAGCTAGATTACCAGAGTACTAGGGATCAGGGAAACGTGTAAAGGGAAATGTTCAGCAAAACATGAAATAAAAATTATGATAGCTGGGTATTTCATAGTAAAGGAGTAGACAATTTGATAGTGCAAATAAGATGCAAAATATTTTCCTGTTATTTTAATATAAATCTTTCCCCGGCTTCTTAGTGGACCCTAGCCTATTGTCCCCATGAACCACTAAAAAGTTACTGGGCTTATTGAATCCTCTATGAAGTCTTGCTATAATGATACTTCTGTGATGTAAGCTTTATTGTGCCGTACGGAAATCATCTGATTCTTGTGTCTTGAAGTTCTTTCTGGTTATCTTGAAATTATTAAATGAGCAATCCAAGGTGCTTCAGTGAACAGCCCAACTCACATGATTTTTAAAAGATGTTCTTTCTCCAAGTGGGTAACTTAGAAGCCTTCAAGATGTGATATCAGAGTACTGTTATCAGTCTGCCAGGATTTTTTCCTAGCTTTTGCTTTCATGATGAAATTTATGGTAGGATGTGAGACTTCAAGTCCAGATGTTTCTCCCTTCCTTCATCCTGTCCCAACAGACTTTAAGTTTTCCATATTTTTTTTCCTCCCCCTCTTCTTTCCAATCTTATATATGTGTAGGATTTCTCTGCTGTTTTAAGATGTGCCGAGGGCATTACTCCTGATTCTCCTGACAGGAGGTAAACAAGTCTACAGAGATTGTAGACTATTAAAACTGGTGACTTGATTTTGAATACTGACATTATTAAATGAATGTTTAAACACATTCTTAGTATTCCTACCACTCAAATCTTTCTTCATAAACTTAACAAATTTTACTTCACTATTCCACTTCAAGGAAAAAAGTTTGTTAACCATAGAATGTGCACAGCTGTGCATTTTGAAAAGGACAAGAACATTGACTGTAAAAAGGAAAAAAAAAATTAAATGAGTCCTTCCAGTATTTCACTGATTGTCTTTGCTTTTAAAGACAATTTGACAACTTACTCTTTTGATTCTACAGAAGTGAACATAACCTGATGAAATTAGCTTTGTCTCTTGAAATTTTGTCTCAAAATGTAGATAATTTGAATTTTTATTTTACTTTTTTTGTTTCTACTGTCCTCACTGGGCCAGCAAAGTCCATTTCTGAAAGGAAAAATTCATATCTACACATTAAATTTTGGTATACCTAATTTTGTGTTTTGATACTGTGCATGAATTTTAAATTTTCTATTTGCTTGTAAACAAATCAATGCCTATTTTTTTAAAAAAAGGTATTGTTACATGTATTTATTTTTCTTTTACAATGTCTTCACAATAAAATTAGTGGAGATATTTATAAATCCCACAAGATAACTCTGAGAAGGTTTTTAAGCAATTTGGTTTTGTTTCAAAGTTTAGCGGGTAATGGTGTGTTTTCCATCCTGTTCTCTAACACACACTTACTTTCAAGAGTAGAGATAGATAAAGGATTGATTAAAATAGAATACAGTGAAAAAAAAAAATGTGATAGGCATTCAGTACATGCAATATGGGTGTGATTGGTATTTGTGAACTGCTCATTGATTGTCACTGTATACTATCTGAGAATGGGTTAGTGATTCAAAATGGAGATCAGGACAACTATTAAAAGAATTACAGTTTATTAGAATATTTGACATTTTGCTATTAGACAGGCCACAAATGGTTTCTTTTAAATGAGAAAATTTTATATTTGCCTTCAAAGATATCTACCATCAATATACATAATAGCAAAATAAATAATGTTCTCATATCACCATTAAGATATAAAAAGAAATCCTGTAGTAAAAGAAGTCTTTTTAAAATGGTATATATGTTTTAATATATATATTGACTTTCTTTTATTAGGTTTTATACCAAAAAAAATATTTATTGACATTTTTGTTGACCTGATTAATTTAAATCTGGGAACAAATTGCCTTCCTGATGCATGGATGAATTTAACACTTCCAGATGTAAGTTAACCTCTATTTTCATTTCTACTGAAGTGTTGTTTTTTGTAGAAGATACAGAATTGTCCTTCCTATGATAATACCCAATTGTCTCACTCTGTGTTACCCTAGGCCACTATTCCTGTAAACACATTGCTTCTTTCTTAACTCCAGTCTAGAGCAAACCAGATACATCCCTTGACAAGGAAATCTGGGTATAGACTGGGAGATGATGCAGAGGTACATAGTAGGGTCTCACCACACCAGCAGTGCCAAAATTAACTGTGCCAGTTTTGTTCCCTTTATCAGATACAGCCTCTGCAGTGCTATGTCAGGAGATTTTACATGTATGCTATTGGTGTTCTCAATCTCGCTCTGCTATCCACATACAATGCCTTCACTGATAAAAAATTATATGTGGCAAACTTTACTACTACTACTACTTTTTTTTAACTAAAAGTATGCTGGAGATGAGGAAAACTACGTGGTGGACACCTGTAAGAGTGTCTGATTTAGGACCAAGGCACAGGCCCATGCGTTGACTAGATTCTGTTCTCGTGCTGCTAAATTATCAGTTTGATTCTTAGTGCTCTCTCCCAGATGGAGCATGGTTCAGGGATTAGCACGTGCTAAAGGTTGTTATCTCATAGGCTTTTTAGATAGAGACCTCTGTTTAGGGAGTCAGAGTATTTATTGAGAGGGACATCAACTGCACATGCCAATTGTCAGTGATGGACAGGGGTCTGTGGTCTGTTTTGTTCAGTGATACACGTCCTTCATATAGCTTTGAAATCACACTGCAGAGTCTTGTCCATCCCAACCAGGAAAAAGACCTAACAATATACAATATATAGACAGAGTATGTTTATGTCCACATATTTGACAGTATTTATAATTTTGTTTTTATAGTTAGAAAATCTGGCATCAGCATTCACAGTGCACTCAGGCCTTACTGACTGGCGCAGATTCTTGCTATCAGCAGCACAGCCTTGGCCAGTTCCATCTGTGACTCAACTTCTCAACGTGCTGCATAGCTTCAAGTCTGTTGATGTAGCTGGATCAGGCTTTGTTACACAGGAATACTACATGCAGGTTATAAATCTTATTTTGTTAAACTGTTTGAACTGAATGATGCGTTGTTGTGTTTATTCACATTCAAAAATTCAGTTTGAATTAAATTGTCTTTAGGAAATTGAGTATATATCTTATCCATAGTTCAACAAACCAGGCTAATTAAGCTTACTTTTTACTTCCATTTCCTAATTTCCCCATAAATTAATATCAGATTAAAATCATTCCTCTTCTTAAGAAAGTATTTTTTGAGGACTTTGGATACTATCAACTTGCTTGACACTGTAAGACAAAAAATCTGCTACAAACAGAAATAAGTATTTTTGTCGGGACTCACCAGCTCTACTTTAAGTAAATATTTCTAGAATATTTCCAGTAAGGAATTTTTGCAAATAAAAATTATTTCTCAGAGCTTGAATATATATAAGATTATAAAATCCTTTGCTTTATTCTTTTCTCTAAAGACAATTTCTGTTTGAACTGTCACATAGTTCAAGGTTTTTCAGGAAGCAAGTTTCATGAGAGGGTGCTAAGTATACATTTTTCTTTTAGGAAAATTCTGCTCATTACATTTTCACTTACTTTTACTTTGGATTCTTAATTGTACTTAGGATTACTGTTGCTTCACTCTTTTAATGCACACTAGCCATATATATCATATCATATATATCATATATATGTATACATACTTATCTATACATATATGTAATATTTAACTATATATATGTGCATGTATACACAAAAATTCTACAATTCTGAGAGTTCGTAATTGTTTGGTAATATTAAAAAAAATTTCAAGCTGTTTTAAATGGATTACATACAACCTTTATTGCGGTTTGTTTTCCAAACTCCTAGCAGTAGTTTTCTTCAAAAATTAAACAGAGGCCGTATTATTCCAGAAGCCTGTCAGTTTCAGATCCACTTTAATTAATGTAAAAATTCCAGGACTGCCTGCCAACCCTTATCCACCCCAGAATTGCAAGGAAACAATTTTAGCAAAGCCAAAAAACCCAGAAAATGTGCAAGTCTATATGCACCTGTCTGTTGATGTGGTAATCTTTACTGACTTGGGAGAGTTTAAAAATAAGCTAGCAGTTAAAAGACAGGCAGACTATGAATGTACATTTTTAACACAATTTCCTAGTTCAAATTAATTTTGAGCAACTAATTTACTCACTTCAGGATCGGAACTGGCCCACACTCAATCAATAATAGTAAATATGCAATGGTGTATACTTATTTGTTCATAGACCTACCCCTTGTTAGCTCTAAACTTCCATGAGAGGGATATCTGAACCTAGTAACTCCAAAGATGAAGCTCTGTTTTTCAGAAAAGAGGTATATAGGAAGGCACATAACTTAGGAGCTCAAGAGAACATTGTAGGAACCTTCAGAGACTGTCCAGAAACTCAGTTCAACAGCCTGCATTGCTCCAAAGATTTTGCTCTGCAACTGATTCTTATTGCAAATAAAAGTTGTTAACGTCTGTCACCTTTATTTCACATTTGAAAATGTGACCAAAACTTTGTTCACTTAAAAACCTCATGAAAACCCTGTATATATCTTGTATAGGAGGTCCAACAGTTCTTGTTACTATCAATATTGTGGTTTGGAATTTTGATTCTTACAGTTATAAGAAGAACAGGATTTTTCAAACTTCAGTAAAATTTAGTCCTTTGATTTCAAGTTAATTGATGAGGAACATCTGAATTGTTTTTTTATTGCAATGTGTTGCATCCTTTTGGAGCAATTCATAGCTAATTTTATGAGGTAAATACTTGTTTAATTTTTTTCTTACTCATTTCTTTCTAGAAAAAATGATTCATGTTCTGTGGAAAATGGTGTACTAGAGAATTAATGAGTTAGTGAGGTTCATAAAATTAAGGAAAGAACAACAGCAGAAAATTAGTAAAATAATTGCTTATCAGTTGTTATTAGAATTGGTACTATAAATTTATCATCAACAGAAAACTGTCTGATGTATTTCTGGTAAAGATTTCAAAGACAACATGAAGCCTGTTTTCTTGTTATTCACCCATTTTTTTCCCAGCTAACTTACATGGGTAAAGAGCAGAAAACCAGCTTTACTGATTCCTTTTCCTCTCTGAAAATCTCTTGGAACTTCCTGTTTTATCCTATTTAATTGTCTTGCTTTTGAAAGAAAATATACAATAATCAATATTTTATGTAATGAAGAATGTAGCAATTCACCTGAAATGTAGAAAAGGATGTTGTTAGTGAAATTTATAACTTTGTTACAATAGTTTCACTTAATGCCTGTACTGAAAGACTATTGCATTTCTCATTAACATCTGCGATTCAGTAAGTTTTAAAACTATTTTAAATCTTCCATATTAATCTATTAATCTAATGGGGAATATACTACATTTTTTTCAAATGTTAAAATCTTTCAGTAAAAATGGAGACAAACTTTATTCTCTGTTTAATACTGAGACTTACATGCATTCAAAATGTCATGAAACTATTTTATTTTACTGTCTTAAAAAGAAACAATGACAAACAGCATTCATTAAGAATAACAGGAAGAACCTTCCACTGGGAATTTGAGGTGATCCAGCTGCCATTTCTGTCTGCAGCTGTGCTAGTAAATTACACAGTGCTAGGGAACATCCCCAGGTAATGGCAGTCAGTGGTCCATACTTTGATGTTGTTGCACAGCCTGTCATGGTCCAACATGGGCCATTTCTTGTGCGTTTGGTCTAGTGTTGGAGAACTGGTTCTGGGCACTTGTACTTTACTGTTGTAGGTGTAGCTCTACAGGCATTACAGGACACATAGTCTTCTTGTTGGGAGCAGGCAAGCATGGGAGGACCCATGCCTCTGTCCTTCAGTACATGGAAGTGTGTGAACAATTTCTTCCAAAAGTGCAGTTAAGCCAAAAGCTATATGGGGTAGCAAAGGATGTCCTAAAAGTAAGAAACTGCAACAGACACAGAAACTGCATCATATTCTGTTTCTTGGGCAGTGTAGTTTTACAACTACCTAGTTCATTTTCACTTCTTTCATAGAAGCATAGAGTCACTTCTGTCCTACTGCTCTTTCAGTAATTCCCATAGGAACTGTTAGAGGGTACAAACAGCTACTTAATTATTCTGATGTCATTGTATATTGACAGCAAATTCAACTTGATTTATTCTAGGAATGAAGCACCTAGCAATCTGTCTGTTCAAAAATTACAGAGCATAAAGACCACTTTATTTTAATGTATGAAAATATATCAGTTATTTACTTTTCTTTTAAATCAGGTTGGCTTATGGTTTAATGGGAATGAAGATCTAAGCGTAACGAAAAGTTTCACAGAACCATTGCCTTCAGATAGGCTAAGACATCTCATAAAGGTAACTTTAAAAACATAGCTTTTGAACAGACCACTCACTATTCTAACCTGAGAAGTCTCATTCAAAACTTTCTTGGTTCTCTTTTTTACATAACTGCTGCCATGTTTCAGTGTTTTTTGAGGTCAGATGGTAATTCAGTAAAATTATTTTCGTATATAAAACCCTCAGAATTAATGTAGAAAGGAATTTAGGCTTTGTCCTTCTGTATTCTAAATCATAGTGTACTCAGAAAGACTTGGTTATTCCTATTCTTTGAACTTTGTTAATTTTGCTACACAGTAATCTGTTTTGTAAAAATGGGGAGGAAAATGATCCCTGCGTCTAAGGTTGCGGAAATATCCGTGGAAGAGGAAGGTAATAGTATGAGCTGAAACAAGAATACGTTTTGGACCTATTTGTAATGATACAAGTTCTTATTAGTTTCTCTATGTTCTGTGAAAGTCCTCAGTCTAGAAAATAAAATAGAACAATTTTTGTTTCCTTCATTGACTCAAGACATGCTTCTGATTTATCTTGATTTACACAGCCTCAGCACATTTTTAGATATAATATCACTCACTATATTATTACAGGGATATCAGCAGTCATTACTTTATTTCATCCTTTCCTTTACAGTTTTTGGATTGCATTTTATTAAGTTCCACTTGTATAAATTAATTTACATGATTTTGTCCTTTCATAGTTTTTCTTCAATTTATTTGCTGATACCAGCAACGAGCCTGCTCTGATCAACTACCCTGAGATGCTACTTTATTTTGCCTCCCACTCTGACCCAGTTGAAGGTGTTTACAGAGCACTTAGCATTGCTACTGGAACATATATTCATAGAAAAGAAGAAGCTTCTCTTCCACGTGAGGTAAAATATTGCAGTAAAATAGTAGAGAATATTAGTGGTGCTTACAAATTATCAGTTAGCTAGATTTCTGTATATTTTCATATCCTGGGTAGCTCCAGTTCTTAAAAGTAGTCCCACTGACTTCATGGGAACTCTGCTAATAGTTCTACTGACTTTGTTAATAATACTTAAAAATATTCTTCCAAAAGTCTGAAAATTTGCTTGCCAAATAATAATGAAAATTTAAGATTTTCACTGATAACTACTGCTTGTGCAGATGAATGGTGAACAATCTTTGACTGTATCTTAGGCAACTAAGTCCAGCCATTAATTCTCAGGAACTGGAATGTAGTGTGATTTATGGTATTGTTATCTAAACATTTAAAACCTGATATTATTGCTGGTCTTATTTTCTTTTCCACTATGTTTCTTTGGGGTATTTAGAAGTACATACAGCTTTATTGTTATTTTCAACTATTTAAGTGTATCTGTAAATCAGGCACATCAATCTGTAAATTGTCACATCAAATGAAGCTGGTCTTTCGAACATATTTAGTATTTCTGGAGTATGATGTTATATTTAAAATCTCAGAATTGCCATTAGTGCGCTGCATGCATCTGTTACTTATTGAAGTATGTTGTGTATTTAGACATGAGATATATATCTATACACACCCTAGAAAGACTCAGTCTTCTAGCTTATAAAATGTTTCACTATGGTGTCACAACCACAGTGACTCTAGCATTTGCCTTGTACTTAAAATACAATTAAAACAGTGAAGGCACTGTTTTACCACACAGTGTAGTCCTATACATATAAATAAATACATTTTATCACTTCAAATGGCAAAATATGTCACTGTACTCCCCTGCATCTGCTATGGCACAACAGAGTTTTTGTCCATGAGGGAGACTAAATAAGACAATTTTCATTTCACATTTCATAGCAAGGAGAGCAACACAGAATGATCCCAGTTAGATACAGTAGACTTGGACTTAGTTTCCCATATTTCAGTGGAAAGTTCTAACTCACACGTCCTTGGATATAGAGCAACACAACCTTTTCTCCTCCCTACTGTTTTCTGCTTAGTTTAATCTGTTTGGTTGGGGTTTTGCAAGACTGTAAGTAACTGCACTGGCATTATCACCCATGCGTCAATGACTTCTTAAGGCTGTGAATCATAGATGAAGGGAGACATTTCCCTTCTGTCTTGAATTAACAACATATCTCTGAGGAGCAAGAGGTAGACCACATCCAACCTGAGAATTTCCTGATGCTTATTTTCCCACTCTGTGTGTTGGCTCTGTGAATCTGTGCTATGTCTGATATGTGTCTCACAATGTATTATACAGACAGCTTGTGTGCCCAGTTCATCTTAGGGAGTCCTTTAGAAACCGGGCAGTACCTAAGAGTTAGATGCTAAATGAACATCTTGCATGTCTGGCTTCTCTTTAACTTTATAGTTGTGTTTTATAGGTTGGTGCTCAGAATTGCAGGATTAATTGAATATCAGTTTAATATTTTCTTTCTTCTTATGCCACGTGTTCCAAATGTGTACAATTTAACAATAATGTTGAAGACAGAAGAAAGAGAATGCATAAAATCCTGTTCTACTGAAGTGAATTTTCAGCGTTGGCTTCAGGAAGGCCAGCATCTCATGCAAGATGTTACACAACCACAAGGGGGCACAAAGAAAATTATGAGTTGGTGTCGTGTGTCATGTTTGGGTCAAGTTCCATCAAATAGGAAGGCGTAGATCCCTGGAGATGTTCAAAGTCGTTTACAGCACCACATTAAGTACCTAAACCATTGTCTGTCTGTGGCTGTTCACTTGTGATCTAAATATCCCGGTTCTTGCAACAGGTACTGGAAGTCCAGTAGGTATTATGGGTGGAATATTCATCAGTGGAACACTAATAGCTATCTGGGTCATCTCAAAGAAGTTTTGTAGTACACCTTAGCTAGCCAGCTTATAAGTAGGCACTTACAGGGCAGCACCTGTTTTTTTACAAAGCAGCATCTCTTTTTCTTGGTTTTTTTGTTGATAATTGTAATAACGTCTCATTGGTAGCTGCCTACAGAAATCCCTCTGAAATTTTAAAGATTTTAAAGAGATCAGACAAACATATTCTACAGACTTTTGTTACTTTTACTAACTTCATAGCAAAGACTCTTTCACTTAAAATGCTTAGCTTTTAACAATTTTGTTATTGGTTGTGTACATCTTATAGCTAAATGTAAACAGTACAGTGGGAGGTAGAAAAACCTAAGTGCTGATGTTTGTGTAACCTCCACTGCAGAGTGCTAGAAAGCCTGTATCAATGACTCTGTTCCTCCTGTGTTGAAAAAGATCTATATTATGGCCTAAGATGTGTAGCACAAGTGAGACTGAATCTCAGCAGTCTCTCCCTCTTAATGAGGAAGTAAACAGTGTGTTCAATTAAACGTAATTTCCTGTTGTTGTTAGTGGTTAGTCTACACAGTGGCCTAATCTAGTTAAAAAATATCATTAACCTGTGTGAGGTCCTTTCTTATCTTTGTCTTCACAGATCTTTATACTGATTTTCTTGTTTGGTTTTTTGTTTGTTTGGTGGTTTGGTTTTGGTTTTGTTTCTCTTTGACTATCCCTAATATCATCACAAAAATACCTCATTGCTTGTTTATAGCAAACTTCTGATTTTTCTGCATAAAGCCTTTGTCATCTTTTTCTGTGGAGACCTGGTGACCCTATGTTAACTGCTAGCCAAAATAAAATTCTTACAGTGACTCTTTGATTTGAACTAGAAAATTCATGTTGCTCTTTTCATGTGAACATCCAAAATTATCAGGTTTATTCCTTATACAAACACAAAGTTCTCAGTAGAGTATTGTAATTTGTAACTATTAAGTATTATTATGTTTTGTTACTCTGAAGAACTTTAATTTCTCACTGGAATGTTGGCCACATTCCTGGAGGAATCTGTTTATTACATTTCTACCATTGGCAACATGATGTATATTTCTGGAATCTCAGGGTCCAGTCCTTCACCCTGTAGTTCAGCAGATAAATTTTGAGAACTGAGTCACAGAATCACAGAATGATGGGGGTTGGGAGGAACCTCTGGAGATCATCTAGTCCACCCCCCTTGCCAGAGCAGCTTCACCTGGAGCAGGCTGCACAGGAACACATCTAGGTAGGTTTTGAAAGTCTCCAGAGGAGGAACCCCCACAGCTTCTCTGAGCAGCCTGTTCCACGGCTTTGTTACCCTCACAGCAATGAAGTTTTTCTTATGCTGATGCAGAACTTACTGTGTTCCAGTTTGTGCTCATTGCCCCTTGTCCTAATGCTGAGCACCACTGAAAAGAGACCTGCCCCATCCTCTTGTCACTCACACTTCAGATACTTCTAACCATCGTTAAGAGCCTCTTTCAGCCTTCTCTTCTCCAGGCTACACAGACCTCTGTCTCTCCACCTTTCCTTGTAAGAGAGATGTTCCAGTCCATTGATTATCTTCATAGTCTCCAGTAGTTCCCTGTCTCCCCTGAACTGGGAAGCTCAGAACTGGATACAGCACCCCAAAGGTGGCCTCACTAGGGCGGAGCAGGGCAGAGTAGAGGGGGAGGAGAACATCCCTCAGCTTACTGGCCACACTCTTATTAATGTACCCCAGGAGACCATTTGCCTTCTTGACCGCAGGGACACATTGCTGCCCCATCGTTAGCTTTTTGTCCATCAGGACTCCAAGGTTGTTCTCTGAAGTCTGGAAGTATAACCCACTGATCCCTAATGAATGTCTAACTGATGATGACTTGCTGACAGACTATTTATCAACAAGTATTATGCTTTTTTTTTTTTAGGATTTTTCTTATACCAACATAGGGGCAACTGAGAAAACTTCAACAGAAGATGAAAAAGAAGTCTTGAATTACACAGGTGAAGGAATAATTTCAGTGGCAAATCTGCTCAAAGTGTTTCATACTGCAGGAAGTAAAGATGAAGACAACCATAGGTTTAGTAATCAGAAGAAGGAAGGCAGCTATGAAAAGGTAGGCTAGGCTTTGTACCTTGCATTATATGTTAAATAAATAACTGCTGAAATCTTTGCTTTCCCCCCAACTTTTTAAATACTTAATAAATTGACTACTCTTTTTTTTTTAAAGCATTTCATTAAAATATACAAAGAATTAGGCACTGAAGATCTGACACCAATTCCAGTTGCACTCCTTTTGAAGCACCCTTTTATTCAAGACTTGATCAACAGCTGTCAAGAATACGAGCTTCCTGTAAGTATTGCTTTCTTGGACCAAGAACTTTTAAGTAGGCATATTGAAATTCACACTATCCCAGAAATGTAAATGTGATTAGTTTAGAAACTGCCAGTTTGCAGTGTAGAATGGATATGCAGCATAGCAGGTTGTAGATCGGATCAGTTGATTTGTTTTCTATGAAAACTCCATCCATCAAAGTCTGCACTGCTTTCCAACCTATATTTTTTACACCTGTCTTGCTGGTCTATAACTGCCTGCAGGTTTTCTACTGCCTTTTCACATGGTGTTCCTTTTGCCCCACCCATAGGAAGGAGTCTGATTGTATTATCTTCCCAACAGGATCTTACTGCAAGACACTGTGGGATACGTGATAGAACACATTCCATCCCAGGCCATCCAGGCTGCAGAAAAGGGCATGCAGAGATAATACAAGTTCACATGTTCTCCTCTGTCATAATCTAGAGCTTCCCTGTTACTTACACCTGTGTTTAAATGTACATTAAATCAGCTGCAGAATAAGGCAGGTTTGGGCCAGAGTATCAACCTATTAAATCTGTTGAACTATGGCAAAAATAAATTATATCCAGGGTGTAAGAAAAGTGTGAGGCTGACATGCTGGGGTTTGAACCCCGAGCCCCCGAATTGAGGTTGACATATGGGTGATTCCCACAGCCCTTCATACAGAGGTGGTGAGTTTGCCTTATAGCTTCCCCCCAGGTGCAGCCGGCCCTGCAGGGAGAGCCACAAGGGAAATGAGCCCCAGGGGTCCCGCATTGCGTTGACAAAGGTCAGGTGTCTGCTTGGGGATAAAAGCTGGGACCACTGGCAGGGAGTCAGGAGTGTCTGTCTGTGGAGTG